AGAGAGAGAGAGAGAGAGAGAGAGAGAGAGAGAGAGAGAGAGAGAGAGAGAGAGAGAGAGAGAGAGAGAGAGAGAGTCGGTGTATGCATGTGTGTGTGTGTGTGTGTGTGTGTGTGAGTGATTGAGTGTGCATGCATGGGCACAGAAGAGCAAATGTATATGTGTATGAGGAACTGACGATTGAGGACCGCATTTGGACACTGGCTAGGGTTACATGCATTTCTTGTATTGCTGCTGGGAGTTGGAATGGAAGAGCACACTAAGTCCTTCGGGACATCCGTTAAAATTGGAATAATACAGAGAGAGAAGATTAGCAGCATGGCCCCTGCACAAGCATGACACACATGTATCGGAAGAGCGCACTGAGGTGCAAGCTCTCTCTATGCACACTCAGGTCCTTCCTTTTGCAGACAATATTCGGTTTGGGTGGGTGGAATATTTCTTTGTGAAGACCGTGTGAAACGTTTAGCTATGGTGTATCCATTTAACAGTTTAACTCTTGCACGCCTTGACTCCAAATTCACTGTTATGGAGAACGATTTGTATCAAGGTTTTAACTTTCAAGTCTTAACATTCGAGCCTTTTCGAGGATAGTTCTGTTCAATTCTACAAATCACTGATTCATGTGAAATCATCACTCAAATGGCCCTGTCAGTCTACCTTCTTTTTTTTTTTTTTTTTTTTTTTTCTCAGTTGTGAGGATTGAGCCCTCAATGGGGCCTTGCCGACATTCACATGTTCTGGGCTAAGGACCCCAACAAGCCTCCTGCCCCCCCTAAGTGAAGGCGTTCCAGAATATCCACAAGAGGCCTTCCATTCAGCATTTCACGAAGTGGGTATCAGACAGTTGCCGCACGCCAGTTGGTTGGAGTGCATCGTGAGCCCAGACTCATGCAGAGGCAGTTAAGCCCAGCGTCTCAGTTGGTTGAGCCCTGGGCAGGAGTCTGGGAGGCCGACACATCACACATTGGACGCTGGCCTATGGAAAGCAGCATTGTGTCGTAGAGGCCGAGCGAACCAATGGGAAACCGGTACAGGGTCTGAATATGGACGATGGCCCCAGAATAAGGGGCGCAACTGTACTACCTGGGCCCCATCGGTGTTGGGCCTGGGCCCAGGCGCAGGTTCGAGGGAGGCCGCCCACACGCAGCAAGGCATATAGGCAGAATGTGCGAGTGGGCAGGGATCTTGGCCAATGCAGGCATTGCGGGCACGCTGCTGCATTGGAGCGCTAGTGCTTGCGCTACGCTCTGGCTGAGAGAAAGCTGGCTGGCGCTAAGCGGTAGAGCGCAGCTGGAGTGCAAGGCGCTGGCAGACATAGCCGGGCTGCAGGAGGGCGCAGAAGGAGGTGAGGGCGAAGGTGGTCTTCGGAAGGAGGAGACGATGAGTGGGAGTCAGGGAAGAGAAGAGGGGAGCGAGTGAGTACTTACCTGGTGTGCGAGAGGAGGTCGGCATTGGTGTTGACGTCAAGCACGCTGGTCTTCAAGTCATCCTGGTCGCATCATGCTGTAGTTGTAGGGATAGGCTGTAGAGTAGATAGGGCGCCCGGCGCCATTTGAAGAGAGAGCTACATTGGGTTCTGATGTTGGTGTGGCCCTTCGGGCTTGGACATTGACTCTCAATTCTGCTGTATCGTTCTCAAAATGGATGGTTTCTTGGTTCGAATGTGCTATCTGCTCTTTGCTTGACTACATGGACTTCAGGGTGATTTGCAATTTGGATTTCTGTACTTCGTTTAACACTCATGTTCCTTGCACAGTCTACCTTGCAAACCACATTATCGGATTTTTCATTTAATTTGTTTGTTTTCGCAATGCTGGCCGTTGTTATCCCTGTTCTTTCACTTTATTTCCATTTATCTTTACCTTCTTCCTGCTCATTGGTTGCAGATAATAAAGAAGGATAAAAAAAAATTAAAAAATGCAAAAAATTTAGTTAAAAAAAAGATACTCCCCCTTTCGTCGACTGCAGCCCTGTCGATCTCTTTGGCTCTGGGGAAAAGGGAAAAAAAAAATAAAAAAATTCAATTTTTTTTAACAAAAGGCTTGTGATCTGGTGAATCACATTCCTTCTTTGTTTGATTGCAGCCCTGTTCATCACTTTGACTTATATCGGTTATCTTCGGCATCAAATTTCGACCGCCTTGGACTCAAACTCTCATTTGCAAATGGTAAAGCCCATCCATTAGGCTTCCTCCTTTTTGCTTTTTTGGCTTTTTTGAACCCCTGATCTGTTTATCAATAGGTTATCTGATAGATTGGATGTGACTTAACATACAGCGAAGTGATGAACACCAAGTAATCAAAAGCCAATCATGGTACACAAGGTACACAGCGAAGCAATTATGATTGATTGATTGATTATCAACTTGAACGATCGCAAAGTCGGTGGGTAATGGCTACCCCAACCGGATTCGACTGCCGCCACGCGGTCGGTCATCACCAGGGGGATTGGACCCAGCACTTCAACCCTTCACCAAGGCCGTCGTTCCACCTTCTCACCTCCGCTGTCAAACCACGCGGCACTTCCGGAAATGCAGACAAGTCCGTCGCTGTTGGACCCAAAGAGGCCATTCATTGGCTACGCAATCATTGTACATATAGTCCTAGCTAATGTACCGTATAGGCTGTTCCTATCGCTGATGTCTATCGTAAAACAGAAGACAAGCCTAGTGACCGAGTTCTTCGACTCTCATACTCTATAGTCAAGCAAATTAAAAAAAAACTGAGTCCAGGACCAAGAATGATACCGGTACTTGGGGGACCATCAGTCCAGGTGCCTTCCGTGCCGTTTCAGGCGTATCAAACAGGTCAGGACTTATCTGCACACCGGTTCGAAACCCGGCTACTCTCCTACTATACCGTTCCGCGAAATTTAAAAC